GGACACGTGATGGAAGCGTGAGGTGCTATCCAAAACCTCACGCTGGTATCCGCGCCTCAAATTTCTCGTACGGCACCAGTTGATGACTCCTGTAATGTAATGGATACGCATTAGCGGTTCCATTCATTTGAGGGGGGACAACCGGAGTGGCTAACCGTCGATTGGTCCCTGGCAGGGTTACGTCTGCCGGGTGCGCCTATGTCTTGGTTAGTAAGAGGAATTGAGGAGTCGACCTGCGATTCGTAGGTGAGGGGATTTCCTCATGCGGCCCCAGCCTTGGCTGTCAGGCTCGATCATCATATACACCGCTTGTGTGTGTATGACATGAATGTATTAAAGAGGCGATTAAGTGAGAAAAAAGCTCCAAAGTGTTTAAGAAAGATCTGTCTATTGGGCAAAGCCAATTGACGAGGCTGAAATCTGATGGCGGTAGCATCATCTCGTCAAAAATGGAAATCTTAAAGGAGATTGAGGGTTTCTATGGACAGCTGTACTCCTCGCAAACGCCTGCCGAAAGGCAGACAAGCTTATCCAACACTTTACCATGGCATGGTATATTAGTATGGCTCTTAAACAACTGGAAAACAACAAGGTAGCGGATGACAATGAAATTACCTCAGAGTTTCTGAGAACGGGTGGTAAGCCGACACTTAAAGTCCTCCAGAAGCTCTTTAATTCCGTCATTCTCGGGGGTAGAACACCGAAAACATGGGGTGGAAGTGAAGTCGGCCGGTTTTTCAAAAAGGATGATAAAGGATTCTTGAAAAACTGTAGGCCGTTCTCTCTTTTGAGCCATATATATAAGTTGTTTTTAAGGGTCATTGTGCAGACTTCCAACCTCCCGGACAAGCTGGGTTCCGAAAAGGCTATAGTACCGTGAATCATATTCTATGAATTAGCGATCAAATCCAAAATCACGTTAAACGTCCATATTGTACCTACTCCGGTTAACATTGGGAATACTACTCTTGAAGTTGTCGAACTAGGCAAGTCTAACTTCAAGAAAGAGACGTCTCGTTGAATCCAGTTCGGACGGGCAGCATTTGGGGAGCTACAAAAAATTTTCGCATTCAAATAACCTCAGTGTCTCAAGACCAAAGTCTTCGATCAGTTTGTGTTACCAGTGATAACTTATGAAAGCGAACCGTGATCTTTTCATAAGTAGGCTCAAAGTCATCCTACGGGCAATGGACAGAGAAATGCTTGGTATTTCTCTACGTCATCTAGGATAGGTAGTTAGATAGGTAGGAGAACTACCGTTACTGGTATTGCTCAAAAACTGCTCAGCTGAAGTGGCAGTAGGCGGGACACACAGTGAGAATAACTGATGCCCGTTGGGGCAGAAGAATTCTCCAAAGGCGACCACGTACCGGACGACGCTCAGTGGGAAGGTCTCTCAAATGTTGCGGAAAGCCGCTGGATGCGGGTAGAGCAGGACCGATCGTCGTGGAGATCGAGCTTACGGCTGATGATGAAACAACATAAATATTTTCATCCGAAATGATGTTGCGCTTATTTACTTTTTACACAAATAAGTTATAAGTTTTTTTTAATTTATTTCACATTATCATATCATATGTAATTTTTTTATCTCGACTTTGTTAAACATTGTATAATCATATTTTTTTATAAAAAATAAAAAAATTTTTTTTCCTGTAAAGTTGACTTTTCACTTTTATTTGCACGTTTATTCGATGCAGCCGTGGCTTAGTCGACTGCAACATATAGACTATAAATAATTTTGAAGATCGGAATATCTGATGTAGAAATTTTGCAGCCCAGCTAAACCATAAAAGATATGAATTCAAAATCTTAATGAAAGTAATTAAGTATGACGAACATTTTCTATTGACGTATAAAAATCGAATAGCTAGACCAACTAAATTATAGGAGATACGAATAAAATGCCTTAAAAAAGTTGTTCGACGTGATAGCGTGATATCTAAGATCTGGAACAACTGCTGTGGAACGCTAGCAGCAACTAAACCTTAAGAGATAGGAATATAACGCCTTCGGAAAAGTTGTTCAGGATGATGAGCACTTTAACATGACTAAAGACAATTGATTTCTTAATTTAATTTTTCGTATTCTACTCATAGAATTGATAAACATTAAAAAGGTGCTACAATTATAATAAAACACGTTGCTGCTTAACTTTCGCATAACAGGCTAGAAAGAATATCTTTATAGAATTATTTTTTACTTTTTTATTGATTTTTTAAAAAAATATGTTGATATTGAAAATGAACGTATTGACGTTTCCTAAGACCCTTAGGATAACGTGCAATTACCTTCTGGAATAAAATAAAGCATTAGTTTCGATAACAAATTGATATGTTCGCACTCAATCCTGAACTGTTATTAAGTAATTTCAATCAAATTTACTATGTATTCAAACCAACTTTTATTTTGATTTTCTGTAAAATAACATATTACATATAATCGTTTATTAAATATTAACAGCTTTTAGAAGGACTGAATGATTGAACGTTCGGTCTGCAATGCGGAGGTATAAGAAAATGTCACAAGAGCTGGTTATAAGATGGGTGACCTAAAATGTCTTTATTAATATTTAATTAAATTATAGCAAGTAAGCAAAAATAAAATAAAGTTCTTAATTAGTGAAAATTTGTGATTTATCTGTCGGTAAGTATTGGAAAATTGCGATTGGTTTACGGATTCCTATCGCTCATTTTAAATTGTATTAAAATTTCTATAACCATGATACTATGATATTTAGCAACTTCCATTCCCAGTCGGTAGCCTGCTGTATACTGCCCGCATACAAATTCACGTGTACAAACGGTAACAAATCTTTTAAAATAACCACTCTACACGTGATTTGCCCTTTTGCGGAGCATCCTCTGGAGACCTTACAGTTATGGGAATGCTTCGTAGAGTAGTTATTTAACAAGATTTGTTACCGTTTGTGCATCTGAATTTGTGTGCGGGCGGTACACTTCAGATCTTGTTTGATTTGTGTGGAAGTTGCTAGATATCATAGTTTATAGCAATGGACTTCCGCAAAATAACGCCAGATTTTATGAAATACTTAAAATTTCTGTAAAGAATAATTTAGAAAGTAATTTCAGTATTTGGTTTTAGGTATACTGTTCCATATTTGGTTACTTTCGCCCAATACTTTTTTAGGTAACTTTGCGGGTTTGTATCCACATTGGACCTTTTTTTTTATACCGAGGGGAACTGACCTTAACATGCCATCGACCTGGGCGAGAGGCCGACTGAACCCGGGCTCTCCTGCTGCGGAGGTTAAAGAACCCCTATCTACAGCAGGCCTACCGTGCAAAACCCCCCGTACTACCCTCTTCGCGTGATCCGGAAAACCTGGTACCCCGTACGGATTGCCCAGGAGTGAACTCTGGATCGTGGGACCAAATGGTTCTCCCTCTGCGGTCAGGAGGTTTCCCGGGTAGTTCCGTGGAACCCTCCTCAGACAGATGGGGTTGTGCAATGAACGCAGGGTAGCCGTCCCCTTGTTCGCCCCGTTAGGGAGTAAAGATGCGCTACAGTGCAATCTAGACTCCCTTTTCCGTCTGCCGAATACTCCGTATGCGTCGCTCCTCGGCCTCCCCCTCGGGCTATACCCCTCGGGCAGCCCCGGGCGCCCCTCTGGCGCCCCTTTTGAGCGAGGCATCAGAGTGTTCCCGCCGCTGCCATGGTGTCGGCCGCTGGTCGACGTGGCCCCTCCCCCCAACGACTCATAAAACGCCGAAGTGGTGAGTGCCCCGCCGAGCCGCAACCGACTCCATCCCTTTGTCGCAAACTATGGCAGGCCTATGTCCGCCATAGCCCGCCGCGCCCCCGACGCCGACGGACCAGACAGTTGAATCCGTCCGAGGACGTACCAGACTACCGACCCGGCGGCGCTGAGGGCGCAGCACCACAGAGACGGCGACGCCGGGGGACCGAAGCCCCGCACACACTAAGTGTATGTACGAGGCCCGGACCCCGACGCCGCCGCCACCGCGGTGCGAGAACGGGGTGTCCCCCCCTCCCTTTTGGGGAAGGGTGCATCTCAGGCTCGCTTATCCCACATCCCCGTCCCTCGCTGAGGTTCTCAGAAGGAGAATCCCTTTGAGGGACGGCGAGTAGTGGGACCGCTCCGGGCGGTGCGCCCCGCGCTAGTGGACCCGCTATTGCGTGTCCATTTTGCCCGGGACCTGCCTTACCCTCTTCGATGGGGGACGACAGTTCTTACTGCCCATCCGGTGTCCGTGGGGGAGTCCAGAACTAGCGCAGACCGCGCATCGCGGCTCCCCATTACATTCTGCTGCTCGGTGTCCCACCTCTCCGCACTGGAAACAGACCCCAGTGCGGTCCACCTTGTCCGGGCACTGTGCCCGCACATGGCCGACTCCCATGCACCTGAAGCAGCGCACTGGGAGCGGCGGCAGCGCTCCCTTCCCCCATCCAATCTTCACTTTCCCCCTCTCTTCTAGCGTTTTGGCCGCTTCAGCCGGGACTCTAAGGTGGGCAATGCCCATACCCCCGTAGCCTATCCTTATTGGGCCAACGCGAATGCTCTCTGGAGCACATCCTCCCTCCTCTGCTAGGGCCGCTCTCACGTCCTCCTCTGTTACTGCATCGTCCAGGCCAGTTACCCGCATATCCACGCAGCGCACTGGCCTGGTGACGACAATGTCGTCTCCTAACGCCTCTTTGAATTTCGCCGCCAACTTGTCGGCTTTCTATCCTCTATCCTCTCCCGGCACCTCAAACAGTCTGGCCCCGGACACAGCCACGCGCCGCCCCAGATCGTCAATCCCGAGGTCTCTCCAGGGATTAAAGGCCTGTTTTGCCCTCCTTAGTACCTCGCAGTATGTGAGGCCTCGTTCCTTTGCCTCCGGGGTGATGGATACGCACACCGCGGCAGTCTTCAGTACGCGTATCTTCGGCCGTCGATTCCTTTTCCTCTTACTCTTCTTCCCCGACATCGCAGGTGGGCGCGTTGTCAAGGGAGTCTATCCTATCTCCTCTCTCTATTTCTCCTTCTTCCCTCGGCCCGTGGGTGTTTTGGGCACAGAGGTAGCCGCGTGTGGGGTAGGCGGTTGCTGCTGAGCCACAGCAGGAGTTGCTTTCCTCTTCTGCCTCCTTCCCGTTACCCTTGTCCACTCGCTCTCCTCCTTGTCTTCATTATTTGAAGGCAGGTGAGAGCTTTGTCCTTCTTGTGTCGTCGCTCTTCTGCTGGCTGCCTTGGCAGGATGCTTGTCGACAGCCAGGGAAGGGCGGTAGTTCGGCGCCGGTAAAAGCCTGTCCTCGAGTCCGTTAAGCCTGGCGCTGACCAAGGTTCCGACGGACTCCAGGAGGGACCTCCTCCACTCTTCTGGCACGCACTCCGGGGCGGGAACACTCCTTGCTCTATCTTCGAGAGCTGTCATTTCTATCTTTAGGGTGTCCACCTCTGTGTGCAGATGTTCTATCTCTTCCCTCATTCTTTTTATCCTTCTCTCATTTACTTCCTTGTCTTCTTTCATCTTCTTATTTTCCCTCTTCAATTTTCTATTGTCTTCCTTGGTGGCCACATATTTTCGGTAGAGTTCGGTCAACCCGGTCGTACTGACTAGGGAGGCCAGTGTGTTGACCTCTTCCTCTACTTCGCTGATTGTGACCGCCAAATCCTTCTTCTCCCATGCAGTCACTCCCCTCATTTCTGTTACGACGGATAGCACGTCCTGCATTCCGTCTACAATATCCCTCACCGAATTCTTTCTGTTACGCTCCAGTCTTTCTATATATTGTTTCGACTTCTGTTTCAGTTCCTCGATCTCCATAAGATCGGGATCGAGGTCATCTGTCCCTTCTTCCTCACCTGTCATCCTGTTCCATGCTGGAACAACCGTTTGATTGACCGGCATCGGAGCTGACATCCACCACTATTACTTCCCTATCCTCCTCTCCTGTCACTTCCGAGTTTCCTTCTTTCCTCCTGGTCTCATCTGTGCCTTCTTTGTTCCTCACTCGGACAACATTCTCCTCCGTGCTGTCCGATTGGTACTCCAAGTCCGGATCCAGCCGGCTTGGTGCAGTAGTGGGCTTCACCCTCGCTTTCATTACTGCCACCATCTTCGCCTTATCCACACTGGACCTGAGCCTAAGTGGTGGGTTATGGTATTTAATCCCTCCCACAGGGAAGACTTCTGCCGTAGCAGTGGGCACTTTATTAGCCTGGTGAAAAGTTTCTGAAATCCATTATACACAAAAGGTGGAAATATCCGGATCGTATAAAATTTATTCATTATTGAACTATAAAATTTATATTAAAAAAATATTTGTGCCGTTACATTTACAAGTAAGTAATGCGTGGTAATGGTAACGAATGATTAATAGTTAATTGAAATTGATCACTATTTTACAGCCCTGTAAAACTGACAAATGAATTAATTAATGTGCAAAACTCAGCAGACATTTTAATATATCTTTGATATACCTATATGGGAACAATAAACATATTTATAGAGATTCCTTTTAATCTATCAAAAGGCCTTTAATTATATTATTATCACCTGTAAAGTTTCTGTTTGTTGTCTTTAATATTGGAATTAATAATCATCGTCGAAAAGCGAAACCCATAAAAGAAAGACTTGCATGAATAAATTATTAATTATGAGTATAGATAAATGGAACAGGTATTTATTTATTACTATAGAGTGTATAGGGGTATCTTCACATAGCGAGACTTGCCGTTTGAGTAATAAGCGATGACGATGCGCTCAATTTGATGCACTTCAGTCAACATAATCAAGCTAAGCCTAGCCTTCGAAGCTTCTTTCAAGATGTAAGGTAGCACCTATTGCCTTGCGCGTATTAGGTTCACATCCGTCCCTTGTTGAGCGGCTCGCACTGAGCTCTCACCTCGCGAAGAGGCCTCGCGTTGTGGATACACGTCATATGTATAGCACGAGGCATACTTCACACAATATCCTCGCACGTGTTTTTCAGATGTGTTTGAATCGCGTTCGCGAAGCGTGTGTTAACAACGCCTAGGGGGCCAATTCTACTAAATAATTTTTGTTTAAATCGAATCGAAAACGGATCGAAACCGAACGAAATTACAGTTTTTAATGGTTTCCCTATTCTACAAAGTGACATACGATACAATTCCAGTTCTATTTTAGCTGGAATTGTATTATATGTCCCTTAGTAGAATAGAAAAACCATCACGTCACTTAGTAGAATAGAAAACGAAATAAGAAATAGATACCTACTTAAATTTGTTTCAAGTATTAAACATAGTCAAACAAACACAACACAATTTTGCTCGTGTAATTCGTTCACAAATACTAAGTGCATAAGGTTAACTACCACGTTAAAAGCACAGAACTTACGACAGCAGTTACACAAAAATGCAGAATTGCAACGTATAAGTCTAGTATAACTGTGGGGATTTAATCGTCTGAGCAAACATATGGTCGCGTATCCCCGCTTCTCAACTAAAATATTGCTAGTGATACTTCATGGACTTAGCGAAAACGCCTACGGTTAGGCCAAGTGGAAATCTTAAAACTATCCTTCGCAAAAAAACATCTGGAGAACTTGAAGTTAGATAACTTCGCTACCATAAAGATTTATACCGGCTGATGATAATTAAAAGTTATTTCTTGAGTAATTGAACAGGGATATTTATAAGAGTATATTAAATGTAACAAAATTTATTGATTTCTTATATTTTCATACGCACTATCCATAAATGAAACAACTTTTAAACGGATATCAAAATCTGCTTTGCTTATCTTAAACAATAAAAATAATAATAGCATTTTCAATCAATAAAATATATTTTGGTATAAATCAATTTTGCCAACATAAAAGTGTTCAACAAATTTTTATTTAGATCTAATTTGATCTAATGTAAGCAATTTAATTTTAATACGATGTTTTCCCATCCCTAATTAATAAAATAATACTTAAAACTCACTGTTAATTATATACCTAATACTGTTAATGAAAACCAAAAAACAATTAAATAAATTCTCGTCTGTAATAAAATGTTTCGTTTACATTTGACTTCTTAAAAAATATTTTATAGTAGGAACAGTAATACTAGTAGTACGCAGTGCAGAAGAAATTCAATTTCATAGAAAGACACGTAGCGAAGGTGCCTAATATTATTATAGTGGAAGTTATTTTATGCCGCCGCTTCTAGGGATGTACTATTTCGGTTGTGAATCGATTTTGAAATATTTCTATGTCTATCTGGATACAAAATTATTAAATTAAACATTTAAAACACACTAAAGCCTTGAAAATATTACATTATTCAATGTTATGTGGGAAATATTGTCATAACTTGCCTTTGTATTTTTATCATTCTTTGGATGCATATCACTAATTATGTTCATATTGACTGGGTTTTCAGTTTCATTCCATTTATATTCTTCACTTTGTCCATTCTATAAATAATTTTGTAATATAAATTTATCCAAACCTCTACGATTTTCCATCCTATGATTTTGTCTACTTACACTAATATAAACCTTTACCTGTAGCCTTTTTAGTTTTTCTTTATACATTTTACGATTTCTGATGATATTCTTTAATATAATAATTTTTCAATTTTAATAAGTACTTTTACTTATTTATATAATACTCGTATTATACAATTTATCACGAAATTGTTTTGTCTGATTTGACATGAAAGTTTTTTTTAGTTTTTTTAGTTGTCATGGTTATATTTAATACTCTTCATGAAAAATTACTCAATGTTTGTCATTTTTATGTATTAAAACTCTGTAGCTTTTGAATTTTTAGGGTTCTAAAGTGAAATTATTTACTTCCAAATTTGAGCTCGTCTTCGGGCATGTAAAGCCTTGCCCGTTTAGTTTAGACATCACTTCAACGGCAACAGTTACCTAAGCTAGTTTTTGAGCTCGCCCTGAGCTACCTAAATTTTTAAAAGGCCTATTTCCTGGGGTTGACTGCTCCGTTCTCTCTTCTCTCTTCAAAGTTTACGATCTCTAAGTCATAAGACACCTTCCTGACTTTAACTAGACAACAACAATTCATTATTCCACTGTGACTCCCTCCGTTACTTCACCACTTGCAATTTTATACTAAAATCTTCTCTCCTGGAGGCTGTCTTCTTGTATACGCCTTGAGGCCCGAGCTGCTGCTCAGTTCTGGGCTGTCGAAAAACGTCTTGCTCGACGCACCGAGAGAATACGCCTCGTCGAGTCTACGCTCCGGATCTTGACGCCACTCAAAACTGCTGAAGTATATAGCTATTCCCTTAAGCTGACATCGACTACGTCGTGAAGCACTTCAACTACATCAACGGAACTTCGCCGCAGACCCACGCCCCTTTCACCGGACCACCTACATCACTGACATACTCATCGCTTCCGCTACTCACCTCACCACTTACCTCATACCTCATACCCTCTTTTCTTTTTACAGTAAATAAATTATTGAATTGATAAAACCATCTTTGTCTTTAGTTATTTACCCCTGTTTCAAAATAATCTTTAATGTTATTAATAAACAAGGTTTAGCGTTGGAGTAAATTTAAGCTGAGATTGCACCTTAAACAGAATCATAGCAAATGTTAGATGTCTATTGATGAAATTGGTCAAACGAGATACAAGTGAGTATAATGTACGAGAGAACCAACAACACTTTTAATTACCGTCTTAAGTATTCTGCATAAGGTTTTATCCCTTCTTATGAGATATCTTATTAATATACATGAGAGATCTCTCTTTTCCATACTTCATCAACAAGATATAAAATTTACTTCATCAGATTTAATGAAATTATTGATATCATTGATGTTAACGCAGTATATGTTTTAGTCATTCTGAAACATATATTAATGTGGTAAATTATTAAGCTGTAGGTATATGTATGTATTTTTTGTACATCTCTTATAAAGATATCTTACTATCAAGAATTCTATAAACTTTGTATATATATTTTTAAGTCGAGCTAAGTTCGATTCGATGGCGTGAATGATTAGTGGCTCAATTACACTGGGTGATGATATCTGTGTGCGGGTTGCGGGCAGTTTTTGTGGCTCGCATTCATTGGTCGATCATTTTTTTATTGATCATTGAGATAAGTTCGCAGAGATGTTAACCTCATCGATCGGCATAATAAAGAAATAAAGTGTTTGATTGAATGAATGAAAAAAGACTATTACTATATTATACAAACCATAAGTAAATAAACAAAACATAATATTTTAATTGACAGTACAATTGGCGTCTTTATTGTTAAAAAGCAATTTCTTTCAGGCAAACTGCAATGTGGATCTTAAGCAACTTTCACAACGGCCTGTTGTGGGATAGCTGATTAAAAATTAATCATTTCAACCTCCACAGTGCTTCGAAAGGCACGTTAAGTCGTTAGTTCCAGGTAGGTAAATCTGCAATCGTTAACATCCACCAATACGCAATTGGCGCTTGTCGATTTCTAATTCAATTAAAAAGAAGGCGTATGCCTCAGAAGTTAGGACATTAATAGGCTAATAATGATGATATCGATTATCTAAATCGATTCAGTATCACAAGGTCTCTGTGTCTAAAGAACATCACTACGTCTCGGATCTCATTTGAGGCCACAAAGACGGCGGCAGTATAAACCGCGATAATCTCTGTGCAATATCAGGCACCACAGTGAAGGTATTATGCAAATTCTACCGATAAGCGCACCCTGGTACCCCGACTTATGTATAAAATTATACATTGCACTACCATGATGACAGTGCGCGAACTAGGCGAGCGATGATAAAGTGATTTTGTAATACTCATTGAAGACAGAGCGATTTAAAGACACACATATACAGGGTTAAACTACAGTAAATGTACACACTTCAATAAATATACTGTGTGCAATGTAGAAAGTCTATGTTTTTGGATAAAAATATCGACAT